AGGCTAGTAACATATACAACAGGCTAGTAACATATACAGCAGGCTAGTAACATACATAATAGGCTAGTAACATACACAACAGTCTAGTAACACCCAACAGGCTAGTAACATATACAACAGGCTAGTAACATACATAACAGGCTAGTAACACACAACAGGCTAGTAACATACAGAACAGACTGGTAACATACCCAACAGGCTAGTAACATACACAACAGACTGGTAACATACACAACAGACTGGTAACATACACAACAGACTGGTAACATACACAACAGACTGGTAACATACACAACCGACTGGTAACATACACAACAGACTGGTAACATGCACAACAGACTGGTAACATTTACAACAGACTGGTAACATACACACCAGACTGGTAACATACACAACAGACTGGTAACATACACAACAGACTGGTAACATACACAACAGACTGGTAACATACACGCCAGACTGGTAACATACACAACAGACTGGTAACATTCACAACAGACTGGTAACATTCACAACAGACTGGTAACATTCACAACAGGCTGGTAACATTCACAACAGACTGGTAACATTCACAACAGACTGGTAACATTCACAACACACTGGCAACATACACAACAGACTGGTAACATTCACAACAGGCTGGTAACATTCACAACAGAGTGGTAACATTCACAACAGGCTGGTAACATTCACAACAGACTGGTAACATTCACAACAGACTGGTAACATACACAACAGACTGGTAACATACACAACAGACTGGTAACATGCACAACAGACTGTTAACATGCACAACAGACTGGTAACATGCACAACAGACTGGTACCATGCACAACAGACTGGTAACATGCACAACAGACTGGTAACATTCACAACAGACTGGTAACATTCACAACAGGCTGGTAACATTCACAACAGACTGGTAACATACACAACAGACTGGTAACATACACAACAGACTGGTCAAATACACAGCAGACTGGTAACATGCACAACAGACTGGTAACATGCACAACAGACTGGTAACATGCACAACAGACTGGTAACATGCACAACAGACTGGTAACATGCACTACAGCCTGGTAACATGCATAACAGACTGGTAACATGCAAAACAGACTGGTAACATTCACAACAGGCTGGTAACATTCACAACAGACTTTTAACATTCACAACAGACTGGTAACATAAACAACAGACTGGTAACCCACACAACAGACTGGTAACATACACAACAGACTGGTAACATACACAACAGACTGGTAACATACACAACAGACTGGTAACATACACAACAGACTGGTAACATACACAACAGACTGGTAACATGCACAACAGACTGGTAACATACACAACAGACTGGTAACATTCACAACAGACTGGTAACATACACAACAGACTGGTAACATACACAACAGACTGGTAACATACACAACAGACTGGTAACATACACAACAGACTGGTAACATGCACAACAGACTGGTAACATACACAACAGACTGGTAACATTCACAACAGACTGGTAACATGCACAACAGACTGGTAACATTCACAACAGACTGGTAATATACACAACAGACTGGTAACATTCACAACAGACTGGTAACACACACAACAGACTAGTAACATTCACAACAGGCTGGTAACATACACAACAGACTGGTATCATTCACAACAGGCTAGTAGCATACATAACAGGCTAGTAACATACACAACAGGCTAGTAACATACACAACAGGCTAGTAACATACACAACAGGCTAGTAACATACACAGCATTGGAAAATAAGGAATATCCACTAGGAATTTTTATTGACCTAAGAAAAGCTTTTGACACAGTAGACCACGACATCCTACTCCACAAACTTGACCATTACGGTATAAGAGGCCATGCGCTTGCTTATTTCAAATCTTACCTTACTAATAGGTATCAGTATGTCACCATTAAAGACACAGCATCAACAACACGGCCACTTGATACTGGAGTTCCGCAGGGAAGTGTCCTTGGTCCCCTGCTCTTCCTCATATACATCAATGATCTTCCAAACGTATCCCAACACCTGAAACCCACTCTCTTTGCTGACGACACGACTTATGTCATCTCTCACCCTAATCTTGCCACCCTCAACACCATTGTTAACGAGGAGCTGATCAAAATATCGACTTGGATGACAGCCAATAAACTTATGCTTAACACTGGCAAAACCTACTGTATTATGTTTGGTAGCAGAGCAGGAGATGCACAAATTAACATTAAGATCGACAACACTCTAATTACCAGACATAATGAGGGCAAATTCCTAGGCCTATACCTTGACTACAACCTGAATTTCAGCACCCATATCTAACACATAACCAAAAAAGTATCCAAAACGGTTGGGATCCTCTCCAAGATACGATACTACATGCCGCAAAATGCCCTTCTCACACTATACCACTCACTTATTTATCCATACCTCACCTATGCTATTTGTGCTTGGGGATCAACTGCAGCAACACACCTAAAGCCAATAATAACCCAACAAAAAGCTGCAGTAAGAATAATCACTAAATCCCATCCCTGGCAACACACCCCCCCCCACTCTTCATAGATCTAAACTTACTCCCTGTTCAGTACATCCACACTTACTACTGTGCAATCTACATCTACAGGACCTTAAACTCCAATATCAACCTTGACCTAAAATGCTTGCTTGACAGTTGTGACAGAACCCACAGGCATAACACCAGACACAAACATCTCTACGACATTCCCCGTGTCCGACTAAACCTTTACAAAAATTCAATGTATGTCAAAGGCCCTAAAATCTGGAACACCCTACCTGAGAACTCTAGAACTGCAGGCACATTCATCACCTTCAAAACTACCATTAGAAAACATCTTATCTCCCTGATAAACCCCATCAACTAACTACACGAATACCACCTGGTGGTTCACACTTACACTCACCCATTTGACCATAAACAGAAATATTAACCTCAATCTTAAAATAATGAATCCTGTGATACTCCAATACTGAAACTATGTACTGTGCCAAAACAAAAGCATTCACATTGCTAAACTCACAAACTAGTATTTAGTCACTTAGCCATAATACCAACTTACCTCATAATTTGTAATATTTTAAAATTAAGAATTAAACTAAGTCTGCCCGAAATGCCTAGCCATGCTAGGTGTTCTAGTGGTACACTCTGTAATCATTATTTTACTACATGTAAACCACACAATAACCAAATTCTGTAAACTCAGCATTGTAATCCTTATAGAGAATAAACTTTGAATTTAACTGAATTGAACAGACTGGTAACATTTATAACAGACTGGTAACATTCACAACAGGCTAGTAACATTCACAACAGGCTAGAAACATACACAACAGGCTAGTAACATACACAACAGGCTAGTAACATACACAACAGGCTAGTAACATACACAACAGGCTAGTAACATACACAACAAGCTAGTAACATACACAACAGGCTTGTAACATACACAACAGGCTAGTAACATACACAACAGGCTAGTAACACACAACAGGCTAGTAACACACAACAGACTAGTAACACACAACAGGCTAGTAACACAACAGACTAGTAACACACAACAGACTAGTAACACACAACAGGCTAGTAACACACAACAGGCTAGTAACACACAACAGGCTAGTAACATACACAACAGGCTAGTAACACACAACAGGCTAGTAACACACAACAGGCTAGTAACACACAACAGGCTAGTAACACACAACATGCTAGTAACACACAACAGGCTAGTAACACACAACATGCTAGTAACACACAACAGGCTAGTAACACACAACATGCTAGTAACACACAACATGCTAGTAACACACAACATGCTAGTAACACACAACATGCTAGTAACACACAACAGGCTAGTAACACACAACATGCTAGTAACACACAACATGCTAGTAACACACAACAGGCTAGTAACACACAACAGACTAGTAACACACAACATGCTAGTAACACACAACATGCTAGTAACACACAACATGCTAGTAACACACAACAGGCTAGTAACGCACAACATGCTAGTAACACACAACAGGCTAGTAACACACAACATGCTAGTAACACACAACAGGCTAGTAACACACAACAGGCTAGTAACACACAACATGCTAGTAACACACAACAGGCTAGTAACACACAACTGGCTAGTAACACACAACATGCTAGTAACACACAACAGGCTAGTAACACACAACAGGCTAGTAACACACAACATGCTAGTAACACACAACAGGCTAGTAACACACAACAGACTAGTAACACACACAGGCTAGTAACACACAACAGGCTAGTAACACACAACATGCTAGTAACACACAACATGCTAGTAACACACAACAGGCTAGTAACACACAACAGACTAGTAACACACAACAGGCTAGTAACACACAACAGGCTAGTAACACACAACATGCTAGTAACACACAACATGCGAGTAACACACAACAGGCTAGTAACACACAACAGGCTAGTAACACACAACAGGCTAGTAACACACAACAGACTAGTAGCATACATAAGTTATGTTATTTTAGTTACTAATATATGGTTGACCATACATTAAGCTGAGCTCATATTTAATACAATATTTAGTGACTTCACTTGACTGGTAAGAATCAAAGGACACTAGCAGGTCTTACACTGAAGTTACTGTTAGTAGAGGTTCCTTTGTACACTTTGTATCCTGTAAAATATTGTCTTGATAATGAGAAAATCTCAAATTAATATTCTAGGACCTTTAATGCCCTTAACATGTCGCGCATGTGCAATCTTCATAGTACTGACAGACGTACAAATAATTACATTAATCCTTCGAATAACGAAACTAATTGGCTTATTGAAGGTCTGAATGAAGACATCATAACGACTACGCAATATGCGCCATGATAGAAGGGAAAAAATGGGTTAAATAGCCGAAATAAAGAAGTGCGGTAGGAGGTGTGGGAGAGCATGGAGGGAGACGGCAGCGTGGGCGCCACACTTGTAAGGTTGTCTCAGTTTATAACGGTGTTGCTCCTGCTACTCTGTAGTATTATAACTCCAGAAAGTTTTCTGCTGTTGCTGGCACCACAAGAGTCGCCTGAGGGTGTCAGTCATGCTGAACTCTACGTGGCGAGGGAGAATGTCTTAAGTAGAGTGTGACTTAGGCGTTTATGAACTACTGTTGTGGAGGTGAAGTCAGCAGCGAGTTAAAATTAACATTTAGTGGTGATCAACCAGAGACAGATCAAGTGTCCAGAGACAGGCAGGTCAAGTGTCCAGAGACAGGTCAAGTGTCCAGAGACAGGCAGGTCAAGTGTCCAGAGACAGGTCAAGTGTCCAGAGACAGGCAGGTCAAGTGTCCAGAGACAGGCAGGTCAAGTGTCCAGAGACAGGCAGGTCAAGTGTCCAGAGACATCAAGTGTCCAGAGACATATCAAGTGTCCAGAGACAGACAGATCAAGTGTCCAGAGACATCTAGCGTCCAGAGACAGGTCAAGTGTCCAGAGACAGGCCAAGTGTCCAGAGACAGACAGATCAAGTGTCCAGAGACAGATCAAGTGTCCAGAGACAGATCAAGTGTCCAGAGACAGATCAAGTGTCCAGAGACAGATCAAGTGTCCAGAGACATCTAGCGTCCAGAGACAGATCAAGTGTCCAGAGACAGACAGATCAAGTGTCCAGATACAGATCGTGTCCAGAGACAGACAGATCAAGTGTCCAGATACAGATCGTGTCCAGAGACAGATCAAGTGTCCAGAGACAGGTCAAGTGTCCAGAGACAGGTCAAGTGTCCAGAGACAGGTCAAGTGTCCAGAGACAGACAGATCAAGTGTCCAGAGACATCTAGCGTCCAGAGACAGACAGATCGTGTCCAGAGACAGACAGATCAAGTGTCCAGAGACAGATCTAGCGTCCAGAGACAGATCAAGTGTCCAGAGACAGACAGATCAAGTGTCCAGATACAGATCGTGTCCAGAGACAGACAGATCAAGTGTCCAGATACAGATCGTGTCCAGAGACAGATCAAGTGTCCAGAGACAGGTCAAGTGTCCAGAGACAGGTCAAGTGTCCAGAGACAGGTCAAGTGTCCAGAGACAGACAGATCAAGTGTCCAGAGACATCTAGCGTCCAGAGACAGACAGATCGTGTCCAGAGACAGACAGATCAAGTGTCCAGAGACAGATCTAGCGTCCAGAGACAGATCAAGTGTCCAGAGACAGACAGGTCAAGTGTCCAGAGACAGGCCAAGTGTCCAGAGACAGATCAAGTGTCCAGAGACAGATCGTGTCCAGAGACAGATCTAGTGTCCAGAGACAGGTCAAGTGTCCAGAGACAGATCAAGCGTCCAGAGACAGATCAAGTGTCCAGAGACAGATCAAGTGTCCAGAGACAGATCAAGTGTCCAAAGACAGACAGATCAAGTGTCCAGAGACAGACAGGTCAAGTGTCCAGAGACAGACAGGTCAAGTGTCCAGAGACAGATCAAGTGTCCAGAGACAGGTCAAGCGTCCAGAGACAGATCAAGTGTCCAGAGACAGACAGGTCAAGTGTCCAGAGACAGACAGGTCAAGTATCCAGAGACAGACAGATCAAGTGTCCAGAGACACAGGTCAAGTGTCCAGAGAGACAGAGGTCAAGTGTCCCAAGATAGGTCGAGTGGTGGTAGCAGAGATGAGCAGTAAGGTCCAGCCTAGTGACACTAAGGTACATCACACAGTGGGACCTGACACTAAGGTCTTACTCAACAGTAAAGGCAAGAACCTCCACTGCAGTTACTGGACTCCACATGACTCCCAAAATATTAG